TCACAATACACATACCTTCTAATCGGGGCTGGACCTTAACCCTAATGTCAACAGCCCCAGGCCTGCCGGAACAGCCAGGTTTTAACAGCTTTCCTAAAGGCCATGAGAGTGGGTAAGGCCAGAACCCTGGGGGTGCTGATTCCACAGGGTCGGAGCAGCCACAGAGAAGGCTCTCCTCCGGGGGCCTGCCAGCCGACACTGTCCGGCTGATGGTATCCGAAGGAGGCCCACCCTGTGGGATCTTATCGGCCATTGGGAGGTGTATGGCAGTAGCCTCTCGCAGATAGGCTGGTCCTAAGCCATGTAGGGTTTTAAAGGTAATAACCAACACCTTGAATTGCGTCCGGAGACTAATTGGCAGCCAGTGCAGCTCGCAGAAGACAGGTGTAATATGGGTACACCCAATATCACTGCATGACTGCATTCTGGACTAGCTGTAGTCTCCGAACACTTTTCAAGGGTAGCCCCATGTAGAGCGCATTGCAATAATCGAGCCTTGAGGTGACAAGGGCCTGAGAGACAGATGGTGATTCAGAGCTAAACAGTTGTAAGCACAAATATTTTCTATGTTAAAATAACATATAATTCATAAAGTCTTACTCAACAACATGACTACAATTATGTAAAACAAAATGTGAACAGTATTTATATATTGTATGCATTATTACTCATAAAACTGCACTATGTACTACTATATAATATGAAAAGGTACAAATGCATTAAGTATTATCTTTTTACAGTAGGATTTCAATAGTCATTTAATTTTTAAAAGATAACATTTAATTATTTCCAATTTAACACAATGCAATACTTATTTTTTAAGAATATGCAGGGCACATTTCCTCCCAGTCTAAAATTTGCATGCAAGACTCAGGTCCATAAATAGGCAGCGTATACATACTAGAAAAAGAATGAAAACTCTGCAAACTTCCCTCAAAAGCACATTTTGAAGTGTATCAGCTTGGGAAGTTGCATTTGGAGGAGGTTCAAAGAGAATACCCATGTTCTGCATAATAACCTGTCATGCTGCTTTATCACAGGCAGATAAGTAAAAACTCTAATCTCACATGATTCTTCCAAAGAAGGACCATGTTTAAGGCTCTCCTTAGCGTACCAAGTTAGTTTTCTTAAGATGAAAATGGAGACTTTATGTATTATCCATATTATAGCTGGAATAAACCTGCTGAGCTATAGTAAATTGATTTTAGTATAATATTTTGGCAAAATAATCAAACTTACCTCTTTCTGGCTGCATATTTTTGGCCAAAATTTCAGCAATCCTCTGATAACCTGGGTTGCAAAAATAAAAACTCATCAGAGCATATCTATGAAAACAGATACTTGAATGGTGATATGGCTGCCTTTAGATTTGCTAAATTCAATCATTTTATTCAATGTATTTGACACAGGTGTATCTTCAAAAATGGATTTTGTTCCGAATTATTGGATTCACTGATCACATTAAACCATCATAGGTTAACAATGATTTCTTGAATTTAAGGATAACTGACGGGATTTATACAACAAATGCAGACAAACATATCATTTTAGGGCTCAGTCAGACATAATAACTGCATTAACATTTAAAAAAATAAAATGCCTACATTTTCTCTACAACAGGAGTCCCCTTTTGGCTGTTAGGAACTAGACCACAGCTGGTCTTGACCAGTAGTCAAAACCAAAACCATTCCCCCCCCCACCTCAGTCCGTGGAAAAATTTTCTTAGGTGAAACCGGTCCCTGGTGCCAAAATGTTTCAGGACCTCTGCTCTAGAATTTCTATCACCTGTCCCTTTTCCTATTTAAGTCTATTTATCAATCATTCCTTAAATAGGCTTTTCAGTGGAAAATAAAATCCATTAAAAAAGACTATTAAGTACTATTATTCATGTGTAACTGCAGAGTATTTTCACTTTAAAAGACTCCATCCCTTCAATGTTTCAACTGCTAAAGAATAGAGACATATTTTGTGTCACAGCCTTATCATTTGCTCTGTAGGACTGTGGAAAGGGGACATGGGTTCTAAAAATATTTAATAAAATGTTTAATAAAAGTAAATGGCAGTTTGAAAGCTTCTAAGCAATTTTAATGAACCTTTAATTACTTGAAATAAACTACTGCACACAACTGGACTTTTTAATAAACATGCATATGATTAATCAATTCTACTTTATAATAATATATTTAAAATGCTCAGGTGTTGTGTATGTTTATACAATTGCAATCTTCTCTTTTGTTATGTATGGTCACAATCTTTGTCCAACCAGTTCTCAGAGTTACAAACCACAGAATTCAATTTCATTTACATTTTACATTATTTTCTCCTGATTCAAACTGATGATACATGATATCATTTGGTGAAGGCTATGAATACTTTGTTCTAAAATTGCTGGTACAATATTTATTTACAATACTCAGCTTTTCCCCTTACCCTGTTATTACATTTTATTTTATCAGCATTCTAAAGCAAGGGGCCACTTCTGGTAAATAGCTGTCCAATTATATATTTAAACAATTTTAAATTTTGAATGTATATCTGTTGTATTAATATAACAAACTATATACTGGTAATTACTGCAGTTATAAATTATTGGATAAGTAGATTCATTATGACAACACAAGGAACGAACAGACTGGTTTTAGAAATATCTGTAGAGTTAAAACACATTTCATAAACAGTAGTTGAAAGCCAATGACTTGCTTTAGAAGCAAAGCACTTCTAAACTCAAACAAATGAAGATACCAGGACTCTGGTCAGGGTTTGCCATGGACACTAAGCAAGTGTCTTGTCTTAATTCCTGGGGCACATGTATGGAAAAGTCTTCCATTCTTATTCTATTGATACACTGTAAATAACAGCAGGATGTTCTTTATAGGCTACATGTGAATTATGATTTCTTGCTGAAAACTAGTTTCTGAACCACATTGGCGCAGCGGTTTGAATAATCATCATTATTTGCTAGATCTAAGTTTGAGCTATATTGCAAAAGTTCAGAAAGAGACAAAAACAACAATACTTACCGGCTCTGTTAATGCCATATCTTTTTCCAAGAACTGAACAACACAGTACGCCAGCTTAAAAAAAAGTTTTTAAAAATTCATAGTTCATTACAGGATTATTAAATTCTCATATATATTTTTTTATAAAAAAGATTATCTGTAACATATTATTTGAATGACCGTCTGTCATTCATATGTATGATTTTGTGTCTGCACTGAGCCTCTTTTGGAAGATTATAGACTATACAAATATTTGATGGGTGCCCCATCTTCTCTGAATACTAAGCATATTTGGACATAAATCCTAACTTTTTTTTAATTTCAAAGACTGGTATAACAATCCCTTTAATGAAGAGAAAAAGTGATGTCACCGATTGTTTGAATTCACAGTACACCTCTTTAATGTTTTATACATTAGATATTAAAGTAACATTTTAAATCTTTAGTTTTGAAAAATAAAGACTCTTATAAGATCATGTAGCACATGATCACAATGAATGCCACAAACTCAGTTGCCAAGTACAAAGAGAACACTTTCCCAAGTGCCACACGCAGATGTATCATCAGACAACCCTCAGAAGGCAGATGATTACTATTTAATGTTATTGGTTAGTACCCTGTTTAACTCTTCTATCAAACACCCTTAGGAAGCAGAGATTTCAAACTATGTCCATAGAAGAATGCAGGTAAGCTATTTTTAAAATTACAGCATACAAACACTAACAGATAATAAATTCAAAGGTACAAGTAGTTGAAGAAAAATGTTTATTTATTTTACAATATTGGTTCATAAAAACTTTAGCAGTGTGCAAATAAATACTCATTCTGATTTTCCACAGTGTACCGGTATTCAAGTTATGTATTTTTAAATAATTACCTCTGGCCCTAAAAGACTCAACTTGGGCAATTAAATAAGTATAACTACAATATTACTTGAGCTTCAACATGTAATATTTTATTTGTTCAGATCAACATACCTGTGCATGAAATAAAGCTAATCCCTTTGCAGTATGCATGGGAATAAGAATCTTCAGAAGGAATTGTTTATGTTCAGCTTTCAGTGGCAATGCAAAACCATTGATAATACTGAGGGGGAGAAACAAATTCAACATGAAAACTTATTACAGTATAGCAATACATATAATAAATGTGTATTATTAAGTTTATGTTTTATTATGAAGATTTTGAACAACACTATTCCTATAAATACATAAAACAAGACCAGCTCTATTTTCCACAGGGTAGTAAGGACCAGTTACTTTTCGAACCTTGTTGATGAAATTAGTGGCTACAAATAAGCAAATCCTAGATGCTGCTTGTTTGTATCCANTTGCTGCCAAGGTTAGTCTGTGCTGGATTGCTGCCAACGTCTAGTCTGTGCTGGATTGCTGCCAACGTCTAGTCTGTGTGTTAATAAATCCTTGAAGTATCTTCGTCTCTGCGTGCTTTGGTGTAGGACGAGGGGGGTCAGAACACTTGTAGATCTCTTCTTCTAAAGGCAATATGTTTGGGAAAGAAGCTAGCGCTTGTTATAGTTTTGTTCTCAATTTTGCATGTGTCCAAAACTAAAAGAGGCAGCCTTGCATTATAACTTTTGTAAAATCTGGGTTTTCCTTCATTCCAGGCAAGGATGACATGGAGATGTGCGAGCTGAATCTTGAAGAAACTGGCCTGACTCGTAAGCGGGGTGCTGAAATTTTGCAGCGGCAGTTTGAAGAGATTTGGGAACGCTGTGGCGGAATCCAGTATCTTCAAAATGCAGTTGAGAGCAAACAAGCTCGGCCGACCTATGCAACTGCCATGCTGCAGAACTTGTTGAAATAAATCGTTATTTTGCACCTACCGAGCACAGCCGGACTTTTAATATTCCATAATCATGTAGAGATGTTTAATATAAACCGATTTTATTAATGTGTCGATTTTTAGTTTGTACTTTTGACGTCTTAATTTGTGTAGTGAGCTCATTCTCAAGATCTAAATTTCTCTTTCAGTCAAGTATTTTGTTTGCTTTAGGCCAGAATATGATAATGCAAATAATACTGTAATATAGAGCAGAAGCGGTAAATCTATGTATCTCCTATCGTGCTGGGTTCCAACTTCTGTCAACCCCCAGCTAGTCAGTCCAGTGGGATAGAAGTCCAACAGTGGTTGGAGGACGAGAGACCCCTATCCCTGATGTAGCATAACACACTACCAATATGTAGTTTAGAACTACCCACAATGGCATTTTATCTTCTGTAACACACTTCCCAGATACTATCTGGAAACATGAGTTTCCACAAAGTAGAAGAAACCGTGTTTTCTTTACACTAGGCTAACTAGAACTGTGAGGCCTTAATGTTCTTAACATTTAATGTACAGAATTTAAAGTAGACTCCTATAAAGGTGAAAGATAACCCTTCAGCATCACTTGCAAACAAGCGTTTTGGGGAAAATGTGTCTTAAGGTAGATCGCCGGGTGTCATATACTGAATATAGAAAAACCTGAGCCTGAAGTGCTTTAGCAATTCAGAACTGAAACGGTTTGGTGCACTTTTAAGGAGTTGTGCATGAATGTGTTTGTCTTCCTTTTTTAAAACTGCTGTTTTTTGGTTTTTTTACAAAACAGGTTCCTTCAAACAATTTATGTTTAATTTTTTTGTCATAACTGTACTGGAAATCCTTTCTCAGTCAAAGTGAAATATAATTCACAGAGAAGGTTCAATACATATATATATCTCTGCAGATATTTATGGCTGGAACCATCAGAGAAGTGAACTTCATGAATTATGCCAGCAAAGTTGAATTTGAATAGGGGGACCTGTGTTGCATCACTGAAATGAATATGGATTAAGTAGATTTTTTCCTCCCCTGACTCCTGATGAAATGCCAGAACTCTGGCATTTCTTGTTACATCATGCTGCTTCAAATTGTTTAACTTCAAAGTGTTCAAGGTTTATTTAGCTCCTAATCTAATAGATCTTTTCTTGTTGCTAATCTCCCAAATTCAGGTTTTGTGGGCTTTTCTTTTCGGCAGGGTTTCCTTAACAGTAATTAAAATACTTATAGCAGTTATTTCTTTCAGACAGTTTTAAATTGCCTTTGGTCGATGTTGCAAAATAAACTTAATGTCAGCATAACAAATCTTGGTGTTATCACAGTTTTGGGATCTTTAGAGAAATTTTAAAAAATGTCACTTAATTAAAAAAAAAAATACAGACCACACCAGGAGAGAGTTTCTTTATTAGAGTAATTGTGTTTCTCAGCTCTGATTTTTAAATCTCCAAATAAGAATTTAAAAAGAAGAATGAACTGAGTTTACATTGGCTACTAAGTTTTGACCAGATTGGGTGTAAAAAAGAAAACATTCATACATCTAAGCAATATTCTTAACTAGATTTAAGATTATTGAGCTCATCAGTTTATGTATTCACATGTGTAAGTATCATTCTGAGACCCAAATGTAGACAGTTTTACAGTTTTAGGCTAAACTTGGTCTATTGTCTACTCCAGGGGTGTCAAACTCGCAATGTCACATTGTTATGTGATGTATGGTGATTTCCCCCCCACCTCGCTAAAACAGGGATGGGAATGGCCAGCGCGTGACACATCCGGCAATCTCTCTACCAGTAATAATTTTTCCAAATTATAAAGGTAGCAGAAGAAAGTAAAAAACGAAATACAAGCCAAGTCATGAATTTAAATTCACTTAGGAGGCTTTGAATCCAAATGGATGTTTGAATCCTTTGGTTTGGCTATAAAATTCAAGCAATCAGAAATCATGCAAATGGGGTTTTTTTTTGTCCATAGATAAAGCTTGAGTAGGAGAGCCTAGAAGCCCACGTATCCACCCACAAAAGCCTCCGTCCACATGGCAGAATATAATATTATTTTCCACAATCATTAGGTGAAAAGGTAGGCTCAAGGGCAAAAGACAATTGTAAACAGTCAGACAGTTTTCAAAATTGTCCCTGTTTTCTGAAATTGGATTGCATCAGTGATTCCCCCCCCCCAGTTTTGAAATTAGAACTTATTCAACGTCAGTCTTCCTGCGTACCGTTTTCTGCTTTTAAGTTGTGTTTTTACCAGTTTGTGAAAGAGCTGCTTGCTGAGCAGTTGCAATGGGAAGCAATATGCATCACTTGCCCTATCACAATCCTGCTCTTCTCTTTTTTTCCTTCAAAGCATCAGACTTGCCCAGAAGAACCTCTGGGGAGGGGTGTCTCATGAAAAGCCTCCAAAGGCTGTAGATGTGTAGAATTCCATAATAAAAGCTCTGTTTAGATTGGTTATGCAAGAAAATATTTATTCATATGTTAAATCAATAAAGATCTCTCCATCTACCAATGTATCTGATGTTAACTTTCATAGTATATTAGATCATTCAGTGGCATATGCCAGATATGTTTGCAGCCAGGTGCTACGGCCTCGTTGCCTTTGATTGATCTCAACAATCTAATCAGGATAAAACCTAATACTGGATGGGATCCAGGGAATACCAGAACTAGGAAGGTGAGGGGAAAAAGAGAGTGATGGAAAACCACTTCCACATTGCTGCTCCAAAAAAATTACATGATCTCACCAGAAGCTGAGCTTGACTTGAAGGACTTGACTTACATATATGTTCATCACGGATCAAACACAGCTTGTTTCCCTGGTTCCTTTGTGCCTTTGGTTTCAGTGAGAGCCTACGTTAAAAGCATTGCAGGACATCAGCAGTGTTTTTATGTTGAAATATGAGAGGGAGGTTGAATTTTTTTTTTTTAGAATAGCAATTAAGAGACAAAGTTGTTTCATTTCTTGCATGGAAACTATTGCTCCATTGAAAGTCCCCAACTGTTTTGCTTCTAGTAAAGAATGACAATATCCTTTATGCATGGAAATGCAGCGTGGAGAAATATTGATAGGAAAAGTAGTTTTCAAAGAGAGAGAGAATGAGGAAAAACTGCTTAGTGTTGCTGCTATAGCCAAACCCAGAATCCTCTACAGTTACACTGTCTTGTAAAACATATAGACTCTGTTGAGCACCTCAATCACAGCTAAGGCTAAAACAGATGACTATATTTTAAAATAGTATTTGAGGCGTACTTGTTGCTTGCTTGTTTTCTTGTAGACATTCCATGTCTACAACAGCACTCCTTACAGTGCTAGTAAGGAGTGCTGTTGTAATATTTCTTTAATATTTCGGATTAATTTGATTGTCCCAGATGTGTCTGCAGTTACTGTATCAATTGGTTAGTATAGTGGGATAACAGTTGATAAGGATGCAAATCCTTGATGCAAATTTTCTAAATTCCCATTATAGGAGGAATTAAATTTAAAAAGATATGACATCATTTTCTATATAATATTTAATGAATAGGTGCCATTATCTCCAATTAAACCTGACTAGAGTTCCTTCAAATACACATTGCATTAATAAGTTTTGCAGATGCATACAGCATCTTTTTTTTGCCCCCAACATCTGGCCAAACATTTCAGCGTAAAGATGAATGAAAATGCCAGTTCCTCAACAGAAAAAAAAATAGAGACTTGTTGCTTTCTGCGTATACGTGATGTGAAAGCCCCAAGATACAAAAGTAGGTACACCTCCAGATAATACATTTACTTGTGCAGCTGTGATGTGGTTTCAAAGTACTTTGAGTCTTGGGTGATGGCTATTCTACCTCTGCAGGCCATCATATTCGCTTGCATTTGCTAAATGAGGAATATACGTACATCAATCTACTCTAAATCTCATAAAATAGCAACCCTAGTTCCATGATCAAGTAGATAGAGTACTATGCAAAAGTTTAGGTACTGCTCATCAAATTTAATATTTCAGTGTACTACATGAACAGAAGCTGACGAAACTTCTACATAGTATAAAGTTAAATACAATGACTTTCTACAAAATTCAATTGCATACTTAAATATTTATGTGCAAATGTTTACCAAGCCAAAATAAGGAAAAGTTTGGAGATCTTTTTAATCAGTAACTGTAGCATCACCTTTGTCAGAATAGCTTCCAAATAGCTAAAAGTTCATCTAATCTTTGTTTTTAGAGTGTTTTTCCTACTCTTCCTTGCAGAATTCAGAAATATACCTCTTGTGCGTTACATGATTGATTGTCGATATTATTCAGTTCTGGGAACTATCCCCCTTTTTCCCTTCAAGAGATCATGCCTGATTTGGAGATAATTTTAGATAATTTCCTTGCTGAAATATCTAACTGAATGTAGGATATTAGCTTCTAAAATTCATTTGCTTGAATCCGTCTTTTCTTTCCACCTGTCCAATATTTGCTGCGCTGCAGCACAACTCCAAAATATAATAGAGCCATCCCTGTGTCAACAATGTCTTCTTTTCTTCAAATGCTTCACCATTTTTGTCCAAATTCATCCCATGTTGGTATGGCTGATATTTTAGGCTTATCAAGGTTTTCTTTTGATACATGAGATGCTGACTTTTGGGATAATTTTAATAAAAAGGTTTTTCTTCTTCCATGAAGATAACCATTATATATACAGTGCTGTTATGTAGAGCAGCTACTCCAGAGACAGCTTAAACCAGTGGTTCCCAAACTTGGCAACTTTAAGACTTGCGGACTTCAACTCCCAGAATTCCGCAAGTCTTAAAGTTGCCAAGTTTGGGAACCACTGGCTTAAACTTCCAGCAGGTCTTAGTAAACTAGTGATTGTTGATAAGTGTAACATATACTGGTAGTAGATTTTTCTTTCTTTCTGCATTTCTTTTCCTTGTTTGGGTTTTGCTCTTTTCTATTTTTTTATTTTAAGATTAAAGAATGTTTTGTTAATCGTATATGCATAAAATAATTTTTGAAATAATTCTTAAGTTATTTCTGGTGATTGTGAATTCGGTGCAGATCTGAATAGTTTTCTAATTGCTCTAGCAGAGATTTTGCTTGGGCTTCCAGGTCTCACCTTGACGTCAACAATTCCACATAACCTCTGTATCTTAACAGTATTTTTAGCTAGAAAGCATTAGCTGAAAACACTTACTGTAAGAGTTTTTGACATAGTTTTTCTCTTCCTTGTAATATGAATTATCTTCATTTGCACGTACTCAGATCCCTGCTCAAAGCCCTTAGTTGGTCAAAATAAATAGAATATTTTTCACCTGTCAGGTTAGAAAAGTCAGAATATTTTTCACCTGTGGAATTGGTGTCTCCTGGCTAAATGTACAATACACTGGACAAGTTAACCAGTTTCTAGTTATCTCATTAACAATGTTACAGTTTTAGAAAAAGTAGCGCCGAATCAGTTAGAATGGTGCCCAAATTTCTGTATCAGCCATATTAACAGTTTTCTTATATCCATTTGGTAAACAATGGTACAAAATACTTAGGTATGCATTCAAATATGCAAAAATATGTCGTGGTTAATTTTGTACAATGTAGAGATTGTGTCAGCTTCTATTCCCTTATGTATTCTTGAAACATATGTCGACCAGCAGTAGCTAAATTTTGCATGCAGTTATGAGTCTGCAAAGAACTAGCAATTCCCTGAAGAGCCCAAGATTCTTAATACTACTTTGGAAATGTTCTTATTTGTAATTGTATCTCTTTCATCTTTGGCTTATTTCCTACTAAACTGTTCCAAGTACTTTGTCAAATAACTTTGATTGTGTACTGCAAATTATAAAAGAATAAATTTACTCTTGATCTTTCTGCAATATTTCTTTTAAAAATAATGGAAATGCTTGGGAAATTTTGACACTTAGATTTGCTTCCCCCCCCCCAATGATATACCAATTATAGCAAACATTTGCTATTAAAGTAATCTGGCTTTGAAAAACTACTTCAAATCTTTAAATTAGTAGGTTGAATTAAAAGACAATGAAAAGAAGAATATGGAAAATGCATATGGAAGAATTGACATTTTTTAAAAGATTTTTTTTCTCAAGTTCTAATGCACTTTTCTTACAACGCCACTGAAGTTGATTATGATGTAAACAATGTTTAATAAATGAAGAAGCTAGTACAGTAGTTACTTGTTTAGATATATTGGGAAATATGATTCCGGGGAAAAAGAAAACCGGAAGCATAGTCTCTAAGATGTTAAAAATATTTTCATGTTGCTACGATATCTAAAAAACATTCATTCTTCTAAATACGCAAGTCAGATGGAAAAATAGCAGACATCTTTATCAGATGATCCAGAAAAAAACGCTTTAACTAGAGATACAGAAACATATTTAATGACTTTATTGAAATACAAAATATTCTTCTCCAAATATTCTATAATTAATACTGCCCCATGATCAATTATGCTCAGGAACAATTAATTCATGTTTAAAGTATAAACATTACTTCTGACATTTGAGTAGAAACTGGTATGAATAAACATACAGAAAATAAATCTGAAACCAACCAGCCAATCAAAAATGAACATTAATAAGGAATTGTTAAGTACATAGCCACCATAGGTGTTTGATATATATATGAAGCAGGATACTGTACCTCTAGATGTGTCCCATAAGAGAGTAACTCTTGGTTGTATCTTACATCTGCAGTGGGAACACACCAAGCCTAACTTCTCACCTCATGCGGCAAACTAGGGCTGCTAAATCAGGGCAACCATTAAAATGCAGCAAAGGGATATTGGTATCTTCTTAATATAACCCCCAAAGTAGCAAGAGCATATACTTAAGAGCCGAGTCGGCTTAAGAGCCAAGGTGGCGCAGTGGCTAAATGCAGCACTGCAGGCTACTTCAGCTGACTGCAGTTCTGCAGTTCAGCTGTTCAAATCTCACCGGCTCAGGGTTGACTCAGCCTTCCATCCTTCCGAGGTGGGTAAAATGAGGACCCAGATTGCTGGGGGCAATATGCTTAGAGAGGGCTGAAAGCCCTATGAAGCGGTATATAAGTCTAACTGCTATTGCTATTGCTATTGCTGTGCAATAGAAAGATTTACAAATTCTAACCCCTTGGTATTATTGTCACTGACAAAGACAGCAAAGCAAGCCAGGCTTTTTAGTGCAAAACCTCTTATAATAGCCTTCTCCAACAACATACAAGGTGTGTGGGGCTAGAAATCCCATTTGTTGTAACCAGCAACCTAGGAGTTATATGGAATATATCAATAGCACTAGCACTTAGACTTATATACCGCTTCATAGGGCTTTCAGCCCTCTCTAAGTGGTTTTACAGAGTCAGCATATTG